GAAAATTTAAAAACAAAGTTGTAATAATAAAATAGTCATTATGTTTGCTTTTCACAGGGCATTTCGAATATGCTTGTTGTTATTTGTTCGTTTCCAGCAGGTTCGGGCTCGAAGGCCATCGGAGGCAACACGTAATTTTAATTTTTTTCCCCCACTTTTCAGTTTTTGTTAATTACGAAAAAGCATCTGTGAAGTCAAGAATAAAATCAAACGAGGACAATTTAAGAGAACGATTGTAGCTTAGTATGCACATATGTTTGCTGTTATTTGCTAACACGTTAGAATGACAATACAAATATTTGCTTTGTGCTTCCGAACTATGAAAAAGCATATGTGAAGTGCCGAATAAAGTTTATTAAAAAGAGTTGAAGTGTATTTAAACAAAATGTTTTTTAAAGTAAACAACCATGTGGTTAGTATCACCAAATTGTTGTTGAAAATGTCAAAAGTGGCATTGTTTATATTAAACAAAAGTCACTTTAATTCCTTTTCAAGTTTGAATTCGGTAATATTATCCAATTTTTTTTTTTTCTGAGTGTAGATATTCGGCATAACAGAGTTAGTGCGATCAAAAAGGCCATATTAGTTACAGCCAACATTAAGTTTTTTTCAGGTTTTTTTAGTTTTCTGGAGCTCTATTAAAAGAATAATAACATTAGTATCGGCGGTGTATAGCCATATTTGATAACAAAATTACTAAACACACATAAATTTACTACACGTCAAGATTCTTTAAACCCCTAAGCAATTTATAAAAACATAGTAGTCTGCTTAAAAATAATTGTATAAATTTTCGCTAATGTGTGAATTAAGGGGAATGAATAACCACTTGCGCTCATGCAAATCGAACAAATAAGGATCCTGTATATATGTACATTAAGTTGTTATTTCTTTTTGGTTTATTTTACAAAGAGCACTAAAAAAGAAAGACTCTCACGGAATAAAGAAATTTCGTTGCACCCACTTTCAACAAAGCAAAATTATTGCTGTGAAACACGCAAAACAATTTCCTAAATGAAGCTCTTGACCGCTCTATTGAAATAAGTAGCTTGCAACCAACTCAGTTAATACATTTTTAATGTTCACAAACATTTGTGCAATTGAATGGTTGCTATTCATGCCACAACACTTTGAAGCATACAAAAATTAAATTTTGCGAATAAAATAGACAATAGTAAACAAAAGTCCGGTACACATACGTAATGAACTGCTAATGGTGCTTCTTTCAACAACTAAAAGTTTAAGTGCATTATTTTCTATATTTGTATTATTCTATTTTTAAGTAATAACTCGCATCTCCCGAAATATAAAGTAATAAAAAGGGGAAGTTCCAGGATCTCGATGTATCTCAATGCAACGCTTAGAACTGTCCTTTTAAACAAGGACAAGACGTAGAAAATTAAAATTATTCACATCTATAGACCTTTGAACAGGTGTTAACTAGTTCCATAGAGAAATAAAAGGTTATGCGTGAGAGAGAAAGAGCTTCACGAAAGATAACGGGTATCTTAGTCATAAGAAGTTGAATATTCTGGCGAAGAAGTGCTCTGAAATCGCAAATCCGAGGGATACCACGCCTCCGAGCTTCAACTTTGTAGAGAGGTTCAAAGTGATCTGATTAGTAAGAATAGCTGGGCAAGCATATGCGAGACATATAGGATAAACCAAAATATAATTACCCGGTACACTGGTGGCTCATTGACTAAAGAGGGTACCGGGTAGATGTATTTGGACTTTAGGATCAAGTGAAACTACCGAAATCGGAACATGGCGATCTTGACTGACAGTCAAGCGGCTCTCAATGCTCTCAGATCTCATCAGGTAACATCTAAACTGGTAAAGGAGTGCCTTGATTAGCCGAATACTCTTGGTCTGGCCAATCGAGTTTGTGTTATCTGGCTTCCAGGACATACTGGCATTAAAGGAAACGAGATTGCGCATAAATTTGCGAAGAAAGGATCATGTACCCCTTTCAACGGCCCAAAGCCCTTCTCTGGCATAGGAAAAGGGGCACTCTCTAACCTAAAGGGGCTGAAAGAAATCAATACTGAGATATTCTACCAGGTCTAGAGCAGTCCAAAGCACTTTTAGGAACATGTAACCTCTTTCTCGGATATTGGATAAAGAGACACAATATAAATTCATAAAGAGGGAAAAGAAAATTTTGAGTTCGCCGTGCCTTATCACCAACAATAAAATGAATAATAATAATAACATCATTAATGGCTCTGGCTGTCAAAGATCCGAATTTTTTAATAAACATTTAATTTTTTGAGTTCTTTGTTTTTAAAAATTTATATATGTATACATACATGCAAATATAAAATACTACAACTAAATCATTTAATCATATTGAATTTTGTTGACTGGGCTTCGGAGGGGAAGACGCCAAATTATGACTAGGCAAATTTTTTGATTAATTTTTACGTTAATAAGCCAACCCGCATGCAGTTCACCAGGTGGCAATGCACCCACAAAAAGTTAGGGTTTGTTGTGGATTTTGGGCCGGCTTTATCGTTCGTTCATATTCCTTTGCAAACGACGTTGATGGGGCCTTCAGTGTCGATGCCGAGCCATAATAGCCGATTTTATTTACCCTCAATTTATCGATATGGATGATGCGCTCCATGCGTTATCTCTCGCAGAGGTGTTGCGGATTTGTTACTACTAAGATCGTGCGATTTGAACCAGCTATACTTTTTCTTGCAGGGTTTTTCAAAGTAGCAGGTACACGCTGATATTGCTGATATTGCTGATATCGCTGATATCGCCGCAATCGACTAATTCTCTTAGAGCCAACATAACTCAGACCATCGCTCAAATTCACGCGGGTTTGCATAGCAGAGTTATTAAGAATTGGATCACTCGGATCCGTGCGACTGTAAAAATCCAGAAATTTATTTTTTTGTGCACTGTTTGAACTCGAACGGTAAAGAAAGTTACTATTTGCAAAGAGCTATAGGCGTTACTCTGCTAAGTCGAATTCGTTTTTTGAAATGCCAAATTTATGCATGGCTTCATATGTATGTGAAGGTTGCTATCGCTCGCGAAAATACATCATATCTATCTACATATTTGCATATTTCCGTTCTTAATCTTCATAAGCCACTTGACATTTTTTCGCTAACAACGAAAACTGTCAAAAAGAGATGCTGGCACTTTCTGAGTTTTTCAAAGGACTTGAAGAAGAGCTAAAATGGCCAAAGATTGCCCTTAGCAGTTCTCGAGATCTCACGAACACTTTTTCAGTAGACAAGTTACATATGTATGATGGCGTCGCATATTGTTAAGGTGTGTCATAAAAATATATGGAAGTATTCAACAAAGTACAGTGCAAGTGTTGCTTCAAGCAAACAACTGAAGTGACATACATATCGACATGCATACGTGTGCCGAAGCAAATAGCTCCTTGCAAGCACTTGGCGAGATAAGAAAATGTGAAAAACGCACGCGACTAACAGCAGATTACACAAGCAAATACACATGAATGTATAAATGTATATGTACATACATACATATGTATTAACACAATTATAGGCACGCTCATAGCAAAAGAAAAACTAGCTAAAAAATATACTAACTGCAGCTATTATCAATTGGCAAAGAAACGGTTGACACTTTTGAATGCAACGCTGAAGATAAACAGCTTTGAGTCGAAGCTGCTGCGAATAATGGGCGCGTGTGGCACGTTCGAGTGAGCACAGATATTAGTGGAATACCACGCGAACTCAAGAAAGAAAAAAAAATATTAATAGTTGTAAAAAATCATGTGCTGGCGGACGTGGGGATATACATGTAGCTGTAGGAAAAAACATTTTTTTTTATAAAGTCACATGTAAAACAAAAAAATAACGATAAACGAAAAGGGCGCTCAACAAGGACAGCGAATCGCTGAGAGCAATACTAAAGCGTGTCACAGTTAGTTATTTTACGAGTGAGGTATGTGCATATATACATAAATACATATACATACATACATGTAAGGTAAGCATATGCTCAATTGCAATTGTAAAAACACACCTTTACAATTCAACAAGCGTGTGTGGAAATATGCGCAAGGCAAAACCCACAAAAAAATTGTCACGAGCTACAGTTTTTTAAGCTGCCGACTATTGCAGTTGCGAAATGCAGCAGGAAAAACTTTTGCAAAAAAATAAACATCTTAAAAAAATAACAATTTATAATTCACTTCTTATAAAACACGCGCGTTGTAAATACATACATACACTATTTTTTTTATTATATTTTTTCCGGCAGTGTATGTAAGGAAATATGCACATACACTTCTCTGTTGTGAGTCGAACAATTTCGGTTTCTTTGGTAAGAGCACTCACAACTCTGGCCGTAGCCTTTTGAATGGCTCCTGTGCTCTGTTTTTTGTTTTTTTTTTTTTAATCTTAGTTTCTTCAAAGCAATGCATACTAATTAAATCATAGTATGTGCATGAAGCTATTTTCTGCTCACGTACTAAACTGCTTAATTCGCTACTCTCTATCTATGTATGTATATGCTGCTTTCTACTACTTTTTACTAAGCACCACTAATTGCTGTAATTCTCCCTTTTTGGGGAGATTTTTTCTCTTTTCTATTTTCAGAGTCCGTGTGGAATATTACGTAAATGAAAACACATTCAAAGAAAGACTGCAACTTTACTTCATTAAGAATCAGAGATCAAGTGAGTATGAAACGTAGATTTTCCATGCGCACATTGCATTTACATACATACATAAAAGAGCTTAAATACATGGAACAATTTTAAGTTGAATGCAATACCGAGTCTGTATGTACTATATAGAAACACATGTTTATTCAAATAAATATTTATACATACTATAGAGAAGGGTGATGTGATGTTAATACGGTAAAATCTCATTAACGAATGCCAACATTTAACGTTAAAAACATTAATAAAGATCAAGATTTGGTACTGGTATTAAGGCAATTTAAAAATTTAGCAACCTTTTGGGTCTTTCAGGTATAAGTTTAAATGTAGCAGCTCTGCTGACAACTTTGCTCCATTATTTGACCACTGCCAGTATTAGAGCAAACTACGTCTTATAATTTGTATTTGACAGCCACTCAGCCTTCCTCAGGGCCTGGGGTCGCATCATTATTGGGAAGAAAATATGAAGAAAGTTGATATCCTCATTTTCGTTGTTGGTGTTTCCTTCTTGATCTCAGCTAATTTTCGTATGAAAACCTCTACCCTGCGCTATCTCTTGACTCTTTACAGACCTCAAAAAATTTATCTTCAGTAAAAGGTGTGGGTCGAAAAAAGGTAGTTATTTACCCATAATGGTCACATCTTGTCCAGTGGACCTGTGCTCAACTTTGCGGCTATACAGTTTATACAGAAACTATTCAAAATCGAATTTGTCACTTCACTTGTTATTACTAGAGTTTAGTTCAATAATTTTAGGCCGCTGGGAAAACCAGTGTGGCGTCAATCGATGTACACTAGGATGATTCAAAATTGGAACTTTTTTGAATTTCGACTGCGAACGTTCGGATTCTTGAAGATAATGGGGAGGACAAGTTCCTTATAAAATTTCAGCTTATTTGAACAAGATTTAGAGGTCGCTCAACGCTGTTGTTTGTTTTCCGGAAACTACTGATTTTAAATGCATCTTTATAAACAAGTAAGTGTATTTTCATAAAGTCTTATTGGATTTCGCTGAAATTTCGTAGATAGATTCCCGAATATCAGTTTATTAGAGCACAGTTTTTATAAGTTCGATAAATTTGTCTTAAACATATTTATTAATTAGTTAGTAACTTAGTATTTCCTTATAAACAATTAATATTTGCAATATTTTTTTGTTCCTTAACCTTTGAGCATATGCTTAATACATCAATGATCACATTATAATTCATATCAATTGTGGACCTTATCATTAATATTAGATAAACATCACTCATACGCCATGTTGACTCCAAGTGTTTTTCTAGTCATCGAAAATATTAATAGCAGCAGCAGTAATGTTAAAAACACTTCAAGCTTAGAAATAGACTTCTAATCAAAAAATCTATCTATCAGAATATATAGAAGAAAGGTTTTTTTCTTAACAGCAGTCGCCCCTCGGCAGGCATTGGCAAACCTTCGTGTATATTTCTGCTTTGAAAAATCTTCTCCCAAAATCCAATTGCTGTTCGGTGACGGCGCACAATTTTAACCAAAGTTTCGAAGACATCAACTTGCAATTTGGCATGATTTCAATATGAGTATGAATAACTAGTTACAACTAGTGTCAAAGGGGACTAGTTCCAAGCTATCCTTAAAAACACTAGTTGGAAACCAAAACCAAAAATTTGTTGTGATATATGTTTAGGACATTTTTTATACCAAAATGACCGAACTATCTCTAAAAGTATATTATATTGGAGAATATTTTTTCCGGAGTAAAATCAAAAAATTTGTGTGGCATATGTTGGCAAATTTGAATTAAATTTCGTGGTCATTTTTGAAAAATTTAAAAAATGTAGGTTAATAGACCTATTTTATACCCAAACGACCGCCAAAATAAAACAAGGGTTAAATTTTTTGAAACTTTGAATTTACAAACTAAAACTAAAACACCACCCAAAATATTTTTTTCTAAAATGCTGATACGATTAGCTAAAAAAGGTCCATTGTCAGTGTTTCATTTGGGTTCTCCATAGCCATGTAGAAGCCTATATTTTTCTTAGCAGGCATGCCAAATTTCAAGTTTTACCTCACTCAAGCAAATATCAAAAAGCTCCTCGTGTAATATATCACTTAAGATGAAAAAATATACCTTTGAGCAAAAAATGGGAAGGAGAAAGTTGTAAAATTCAAGTAGATGTGTAAAATATAACGGTAGTTATTTACTTGGGGTCCTTTGTATAGCTTGGCTCAAACCGTGCCATTTTTAGCCCCATTTTACTTCAAATGGCATTTAGTTTTTCAATTCTGGCCATTCATATATCCTAAGCAGTCACGGGTCAATCGCTCAGAGACCTAGATAGAACAAAAGTGGGTATTTGTATTCTATGGCGGTCAAGTAGTCTTCAAAGCTTTTCAATCACACATATTCTATGCAAACTCCCTTACTGGATCCCGTACATCTCTGATTGAGAAAGCCCAGATTTATAAACTCAAATTAATATAGGCGCTGAGAGGTACCTATCTGATGACCTGCATGCCTAATTATGAATAGGAATTGAAAGCGTGAAGAATTAGCCAGATAATATTTGACCACATCCTTCCAAGAAAGAACACACTAGCAGTATAAATGGTCCCATTAGAACGACATTTAATAAATCGCATGGCTGAAAATAGACAATATGCAGGAAAAATTCCTTCGTCCACTCCTATAACAGAAAACTCACATCTGTGCTCTTCAGTTTTCTTATAAGGACTGTTTTGGACTTAAGAGAGGAATTTTTAGGCAAACCATTTAATGAAATCTCTGTAGAAATCTAACAGGTGGAAAGTATTCCCGATGGTATCGCACTGTTATTATTCGTGGCCTATTGTGTGAGGAGGGCTCTGCTCTTCTGTCGTTTCAACCTAAACTAAGAACTCTTACTTTGCTAACCGTTTTTTGCTTTTAAACACTATTTTTGCATTAGCCAATGCACAAGTGTTTCCAGATACCAAAATTTTTGCTGAATGCATTTAAGCAAATATTGCTCATACGCCCCTGCACACGTTTAGCCACACAAAGTTGGGAAAAGTAAAAAAAATCGTTACACTATGATAAGCGTCCAACGCAAATGGCAACATCTTTATGCTTTAAATATTTAAAATAAATATTGTTATATGTACATATTTAGGTCGACTTGCTTGCTTTGACCTCAACACTAATTTGTTATTTCTACAAATACATAGAATGTGCATCAGTATGCCAGAATGTGACTGACAAATTACAGTGAAAAAAACATATGTATTTATGTACAGTTGCGTCGAACTACATAATTAACAACGAAGTAGCCCAGCGAATTATATTAACTTGCATATATATAAAATTCTAAGGTTTCAGTAAAACGGAGCCCCGACTTGAAATATGTATAGTAAAAAAGTAGCGATGTGCTATTAATCGGTTAAATAACTTTTGATTTAATCATAATCCGGACTAGTTAAAAAATTGTCTTAATCATATTCTGATTAATTTGACTATGAGCAACCACTGTTTAAAAAAATAGAGCATCAAAATTCTCTTTTTAAGCCTCAATTCGACTGTTTTTCTCCGAAATGTAGCCTGTCAAAGTTCACCGAATGCTACCTTAATTTTTTTGAGTAGTGGAAGGAAAGGCAAGCACATAACCTATCCACCTAGCAAAAAGACTATTTGGTGAAGTGAGACCACTTTGGATAAATGCCAATAAGAAGCTGTTGTTCTCCCCACAATTACAGAAAATTTTTTCATTATAACGTAGGCCCCCGCCGAGTCTCCCATGGACCCTTGGACGTCCACCAGGACCACTTTGGGAATCAATGCTTTAGAATAACTGCAGTACTAAGCTGTTTATTTAGAAGGTTGAATTAAACTCCTTTCGGCACAAACTGAAAAGTCGACCTATTTGAAATTGAGTTGGCCTCGTTCCTAATAAGTTGCACGCAACTGTATCTAAGAACTGCAGCTGATTTCCATTTATAGCATAATTTCTACTGCTACCTACTGTTCCAGTGTTTATGTGAACGTTTCTGCTTTCGTGCGCTACAAGTTTGTGCAGCAGATCCTTTAAGGTTTCATTGAGCATGAAATTTTCAAACAAAAATATAATTTTGCATAACTAAGTAAATATTTGCATGCACGTGCAATTTTAAATTCTAAACAAAGACTTGACTTAAAATACTTATGGATTTTTACTAAAAATGTATTTCTATTAAATTTTATTCGAGTTCAATGACAATCAAATCTGCATACAAGAAAAGAAATTATAATCGGTAAATTCTGCTTATTTTATTTTAGATATTGGCAATATTATAAAATGCTTTAAGATTTTCGGAATTTTTTTAAGCTTTTAAAAATTTTCTCTAGACTTTTTTACTTTTTGCCACTTTTTAGGAACTTTTGGAATTTTTCTTTATTTTTGAGGACTTTCGGGACTTCACTTTTGTATTTGTGTAGCATTTAGCGCGGCTAAAAATATTAAGCACTTTTCCTAGGTGAAAATAACTTAACACTTTAAGAGTCAGTATTTAGTCCTGTGAAAGTTAGTAAATACATTTACTTACATACTTAAAATAAATACTTCTAACCCCTAATGCAACTACTCCATGTCATACTCGATATAAGGTGGCAGTCAAAATACATTGCATTACTTAGCTTAACATAAATACTTAATTCTTTTGTTCCCAATACTTGCTAAGTACAATTTCTTTCGTAACTATTTCTAATGCAAAGTATGGAAAATATTTGTAAATATTGTTTGAAAAATATTTTTCTAAAGACGTATGTACAACATATATTTTTTATAGCATTTAAGTTTTCTTGTTAGCTAACTAGATTTTCTAAATAAATATTTTTTTTTTATGTTTGACCTCCGAAGTTTGTGCCCCCCAACAGTTGCATAAACTTTTTCAAACTAAACTCGAAACACTTTTTTGACAAATAATCTATGTACTCGCATAAGCACTTTAAGAAACTTTCAAATCAATTCTCAATTGTGCAATTGAAGTAAAACTAACTCGAACAAGGCGGGCAATTC